AAATTTCAAGTGCATAAGAGCCATGGGTTCCCATTTTGACACATCCCATAAATTACCGCATCAGAGGGATGTTGATTAAAAAAATGTTGCCCTATGTACCACTTTGGCCAAATGAATGTTACAATCAAACAGACACAAGAGTCTTGGTAGTATAAAGAGTCAATTATTTTAAGGACAACTTGCTGTTGTTCTCTTTAGTTGTTCTTCCTAGAATTGGACACTTTTGCATGTTTGAACCTTTTAACAAGCACCTTATTTTCTTCAGTGACTGCAAGTGGTCTTTTCTTGGCACAGCGTTGTTAGAATGGAAAACATGCTGCACTCTTTAACCACCTGCTCGGCTCCTCTTTCACCACATGAGCATCTGTCAATTTAAAGCTTCCCCAAGGCAGTTTTCACACCAGCATCATTTTCATTCTCCTGATACTTCATTCCATGAAAATAATCCATGGTTCTCTTCTGTTCTATGAACATTGCAGCACTGACAATGCAGAGGTGGGGGGGATCATTGCTCCACCCCAGGTCTTGCAGATTCTGGATAAACTGAAATCCCTGTATCCCTATCCCACGCCAAAGGGTAGAAAACTGCTTACCCATGTATAATCTATTCCATTCCCTTACTACATGTTGTGTACATTGGTCTAAAGGTAAAGGTAAAAGTTTCCCTGTCCAGTTGTATCCGACTCTGTGGTGCAGTGCTCATCTCTGTTTCTTGGCCAAAGGAGACAACATTGTCCAGAGACATTTTCCATGGTCATGGGGCCAGCTTGGCTATACACCAAAGATGCATGGAATGCCGTTACCTTCTCCGAGGTGGCGCAGTGGTTAAATGCAGCACTGCAGGCTACTTCAGCTGACTGCAGTTCTGCAGTTCGGCTGTTCAAATCTCACCGGCTCAGGTGAGATGGGTGAAATGAGGACCAAGACTGTGGGGGCGATATGCTGACTCTGTAAACTGCATAGAGAGTTGTATAAAGCATTAAGAAGCAGTATATAAGTCTAAATGCTATTGCTCTATCTATCTATCTATCTATCTCTATATCTCTTTCCATCTGTCTGCCTATCTATCCATATCTTCTATCTATCTATCTATCTATCCATCCATCCATCCATTTATCTATCTATCTATCTAGAGCCAAGGTGGCGTAGTGGGTAGAGTGCAGTACTGCAGGCCACTTCAGCTGACTGCTAGTTCGGCTGTTCAAATCTCACCGGCTCAGGTGAGATGGGTGAAATGAGGACCAAGACTGTGGGGGCGATATGCTGACTCTGTGAACCGCTTAGAGGGGGCTGAAAGCCCTAGGAAGCGGTATATAAGTCTAACTGCTATTGCTCTATCTATCTATCTATCTATCTCTATATCTCTTTCCATCTGTCTGCCTATCTATCCATATCTTCTATCTATCTATCTATCT